ATTTATCTTGATGAAAACAATCAGGCATGTGTAGGGGTCTGATTTTTAAGAATGAATGCAATGTGGTGCAGATCCAAATACAAATCTGTGTGTTTGTATCTTTATGTTCGATGATTCAACAAACCAGGCACGAGATTGTGTACTTTTGAGAGATAATTGTGTACTTTTACTTAAAAGTATAAATCCAACAGGAGGTCTGAGTCCTTCTGTAGCAGCCGCAGGTTCCTTTCCCACCCAACCCTTTATTGCGTCTTTTCCCCAAATACAAATAAAAACAGTAAAATTATTTCCAAATTTTTTATTTATTACAACTTGAAAAGTGTTTACGTGATAAATTAATTACAGTTCTACTCCAAACACTGCCCCCTGCTGTTCAAAGCCACAATATCCTCCATCTTCTCAAACAATCCTTCAGTCTCAGAGTTTGTTCTCTTGCTGGTCAGCACGTGATACCTGCCGCCACATTTCTCCACGAGCCCCGTCAGCTCCCCGTTCCTCAGGATGTGCTGCTCTGCGCTCACCCCTAAAGTTTCCCCCCAAGTGAACACGACCAGGGTGCGCTGCCAAATCTCTTCCCCGAGCAAACCCATGTCCTCCTCCACAGCTCTCCTGTACTTCCTCGTGCAGGTCAAGAAGACGGGCATGAGAAGGAGGACGACGTGAGGTCCCGGGTGACACCAGGAAACGCCGTCGAGGAGGCTTTTCTTCACGTTTGTTGGGTCTGGTCCGTCCCGCCATCTCAAACCCAGCGGCTCTGCAACTGCGAGGCGTCTCCCGGCTGTCTGACCTGTCCAAGACCTGAAGGTGGATCCGTTGAGTTCGGGCACTTCCCCACCCAGGATGGTGACTCCAGCTGGGCAGCGAGACGACCAGGACTCCCCTAACACCACCACCCCCAGATGCAACCCAGGAGAGGCCTTGCTGCTGTGACTAAATAACATCTGATCCTGGATGACCTTTTTCCTTTCCAGGCTTTTTTTATCTCCCATCTCTTCTCCTCCTTCTCTCATCCCTTCCTTTTCCTCACTCATCTCATTCTCTCCTAGTGTTTCACTGTGACAGTAATCCCTTTCTCCTTTATCTGCCCCCCTGCCCTTTCCCCTTCGCTCGCTGCACATCACAAAGACGTTGTTCTCCGAGCTCTCGACCGCAGCTTCCAGACTTAAAAAACGTTGACCGCCCTCAAAATTTCGTTCCTGCAACTCCGCCTCTCGTGCTTCAAGGTCTGCCTCCCACTTACTCCATTTTTTAAGCGCCATCTTGAGATTCTTCTCTTTTTTGTGCAGCTCGTCTTTCAGCAAAGCCAGATCTCTGCCAATCTCGGCCAGCTGCTGAGTTGTAGATTTAACGTGCTCATTTTGCATCTGCAGCTCGGACTTCCAGTTGAGCAGCTCCCGCTCTTCGTTGTTTAGATAGTTCTCTCTGTCTTTCAGCTCCTTCCCTTGGTCTTTAAGACGCTTTATGTTCTTCTGGAGATCTTGGCCGTGGCTGCTCAGCTCTTGCTGTTTGACCTCTAGAGCTCGGAGCAAGCTTTCCATCTCCCTTTCCTTTCTCTCGATAGTCCGAGTTCTCAGTTTCACTTCTTGCTCGTATTGATCACGCTCTTTTTGCTCTTTTCGTTGCATCTCAAGATTTACTTCCAGTTTCCGAAGACCTTGCTCAAGCTCTTCCTCTTTCACATCCAATCTGAGTCGTCTCTGCCTCGACTCTTCCTCATTTCTACTCATGTCCTCTTCCCTTTCCTCAACCTCCTTTTCCCTTTTCAACAGTTTATCTTCCATCTCCTCTTCCTTCATTCTCAACTCTCTTTTTCTCTCCATCATCTGTCTCTCAACATCCTCTCTCAGCTCATTCATCTGCATTTCTGCCCCATTTTTCAGCCTCTCTATCTCTGCCTCCAGTTTCTCATTTGTGTCTGTTAACACCCTGACCTCCAGATCTCTCTCTCTAAGAATGCTTTGGATTTCAGATTCCCGCTCATCGTATTCCCTGAGATGTTTCCTCACCTCTTCTTCCCTCTCACTTCTCAGCTCCTCGTACTTAAATGTGAAATTGTCTGCCTCCTTTCTCATCTTCTCACTTTGCTTTTCATATTCCTGAATCATGCTCATCATCTCCTCCTCCATCTTGTCTGTGAGATGCTTCAGCTCTGACTTCGTTTGCTCGATCCTGAGCTTCAGCTGGACGATCTCCTTCTCGTTTTCTCCATCCCTTCGCCTCAAATGCTCGAGCGCCTCCTCTTTCTCCTGCAGTTTCTCCATCATCTCGTCCACGTCCCTGTGTCTCTCTGCTAGAAGACTCTGCGCTTCTGTTATTTCCTCTGTCTTCTTCTCAATGATCTCTTTCAGCTTCTTCATCTCGTTCTCCCTCGTCTCCTGCTCCTCCCTCCATCTCGTCTCCCTGGAGTCAGCCTCCTGTCTCATACTCTCAATCTCTGTCTCCTTCTCTTTTAACTTTCTCTCCGAGTCGTTCAAAAGCTGCAGCTTCATCTCCTCCATCCGTCTCCCTCTGTCCTGCAGTCGCTGCTCTGCCTCCTCCTGTTGGTTTAGAATCATCGTCACTCTCTCTTCGTCTTTTCTTTGCAGAATTTCTTCGATGTTCTCATTCAACTTTTCTATAACTCGTTCATTTTGTTTCAGTTTTTGCATCATCTGTCTCTTTTGATTTGATTGATCCCTCTTTCTTTCCTCTTCTGTTCGTTGAAGTTGTTTTAAATGTTCTGTCATCTCTTCTATTTCTCTGTCTTTGTCTTTCAGTCTTACCTCCATATCTGTCTTGTAACTCGTTTCTTTCTCTTCACTTTTCTCCTTCATTTCATTAACATTCAGTTTCATCTCCTCAATTTCTTTTTCTTTTTCTCTCAGTCTTTGTTCTATTTCTTTTTTGTAATTCAAATTATTTATTTCTCTCTCTTTCTCTTGTTGCAGCTTACTCTCAAGTTCTCCTACATTCCGTTTCATATCTTCAATCTCCTTTTCTTTTTCTTCCACCCTTTTCTCCATCTCTTTCTCGAATCTCTCTTTTTCCTTTTCACTTTCTCGCACTTTTTCTTCAACTTCGTTCAAGTGTTGTCGTTTTAACTCGTCTGTTTGCCTGTCTCTCTCTTGAATTTCTTCCAAAATGCACCTTTCATTATTTTGATTCATTATTTCCCTCTCTTCTATTTGGGCAGAAAACTTTAGTTTCAACTCTCTGATCTGTTTTTCTCTCTCCTGCATTTGTTTTGAACTTTCTCTAGCAAACTTTTCTTTCTGTTCTTCATTTTCTCTTTTTCTTACTTCCTCCAATTCTCTTATTTTTTCCATGTATTGCAGTTGCACTCTTTCTACATCCTCCTCTTTTTCTTTAATTTTTCTATCTCTCTCTTTCTGGTGTTCTGCCCTCGTCACCTCCATCAGTTTTTCCATGTCGTTAATTTCTTCCTGATGCTGCCGTTTTAAAGCTTCTATTTCTTTTTCTTTCTCTTGCATCTTTTGCATCACATCTTTTTTGTGATTTAGATGAATTGATTCTATCTCTTTTTCATTTTGTTGCAGTATTTCTCTTGTTTGGTTGTGATATTTTTCTTCTAGTTCTTCTATCTCTTGCTTTTTTGCTCTCACATGTTCCTCATTTTCTTTAGCAAAATGCTTTTTCAGGTTTTCGATTACTCTGCAGGTTTCGTCATTGATGTCTCTTTTTTCATTTTTATGCTGTTGTCTGACCTTTTCAATAGCTTCTGCTTTTTCTTTCAAACACTGAAGAATTTCTTCTTGGTGTTTAACTTTCGCTGCGTCCATCATCTTTTCTTTTTGACTGATTTTTCTCATCATCTCCTCCTGATGCTGCAGTGTTGCTTTATCAAGGGTAAACTGTTTTTCCTCTGCAGCTTTCTTCCTCAGTTCCTCCTGCTCTTTGTCTCTTTCAAACAGTTTTATTTCCATCTCTCTTTTTAGTTTCTCTTCCAGCTTTGTCACCTCCCTCTCTTTTCTGCTGAGGACATTGTCACAGTGTCGTTTTATCTCATCCATTTCTGCTTTTAAAGAATCGACTTGTTCCGTCCACTCTGCTTTTTCTCTCTTGTGCAGCTCCTCAGTTTCTTTGAATTTCTTTCTCCACTCTTGCTCCTTCGCTCTGATGGCGTCCTCCCTCCTCTTTTTCTCTTGTTCGAGGTCAAGCAACTTCGCTTGCTGTTCGTCAATTCTTTCTCTTAGATCCTCCACCTCTCTCTCTTTCAGCTCCAGGTTGAACATCATCTCATCTCTCTCTCGTCCACTTTGGTTCAGTATGACACGTATTCTTTCATTTTCTACGCTCAGATCCTGAACTTCTCTCTCTTTATCCTCCGTCAGCCACCGCATCCTCTCCTCCAGCTCTCCGAAGTTATGCTTCTTTTCACCAGTCCTCCTGTCCTCCTCCTCCTCCTCCTCTTCCCTTTGAACATCAGCCTTCCCGGGTGATTTCAGCTTCCTCTTCCAATCAAAGATCCACCTGATGCTCTTCATCTCCCTCTCCCTCACCTTCTTCAGCTCCGCCTCCTGACGAAGCATCTTATCTCCCATCTCCTTCAGGCGCTGGTTGAACTTTTCGTTCCTTTGTCGACTCAGGTCCCTGACGTCCTGAACCAGACTTGAGAAAGCCTCGCACCTGTTCATCGTCGCCATCTTTTCCACTTTCTCCAGGAGCTCTGTCACCTTAGTGGAGCCTCCACTTCCACTTCCTCCTCTGTCTGCACTGCTGACAACATGGTACCTGCCCCTGCATTTCTCCAGCAGCCACTGCAGGTCCCTGCCCCCACCCTGGATGTGCTGCTCAATATCCACCCCCTCTCGAAGCTGATCGCCGTGAGTGAACAGCAGGATTGTGTGTCTCCATACGCCCTCGCCCAGCAGCTCCAGATGTTCCCTCACATGTCCTGCAGTCACCAGTGTGTCCACCCTCAGCATCAGCAGGAGTGCGTGGGGCCCCGGCGGACACAAGGCCACGCCACTGACGATTTCCCTCCTCACCCTCTCCGGCGTCACCCCCTCCACTCCTGCCTCCCAGCCCGGTGTGTCCACCACCGTCACCATCCACTTGGCCACCTCTGCTTGTCGACGGATGCACTCCTCTGTTACCGCCCCCGCTTGGAAGAAGCCTGTTTTGCCCAGGATAGTATTCCCAGCGGAACTCTTTCCGGTTTCACGCTCACCCAGGAGAATCAGCCTGACCTCGGGTAAACGTCTGGGAGCTTTGGAGAAAGATTGATGAGCATCAAGCTCGGAACCCTGAGGTTCGTCACCTAAAAAAAAAGTGATAGTGAAACAATACTTTATTTCAATAGTTGATCACCATTTTTGTCTCCTCCACCTCCTGATAAAAATATCTAGCTGGCCTTTTTAAAATGGTTGCACATGTTTGATGAAATAAATAAAATCCAACCCTAGGAAATGTAAAGTTATGAGGCCAAACAAGCCGAATACTTTCTGAGCTTGATTATGAAATGAAATGTTTTATAAGTGAATCAGACTGAAGAACTCACTCATCAGAGCAGCTTTGATGGTTCCTCTCTGCATCTGTGCCTCCATCTGCCTCTGCTTCTTCCTCCTCTCTCTGGCTCTCCTCTTCTTGTCCGCATCCAAACCCAACAGAACCGAACTATCCATCTCCAGGGGACTGTTTCCTTCTTTCCTTTCCTCCACCATCTGCTCCAGCTTCCTTATCAGCTCTCGAACCTGCTGCGTCCCATCAACTTTCCTCAGATTGTTCACGACATGATATCTGTTCCCACACTTCTGGAGGAGCCTCTGAAGCGCCGGGCCGCTCGTCACAATCCGTTGCTCCATGGTGGTCAGGCCCAGTTCGTCTCCCCTGGTGAACAGCAGGACGGTGTGCTCCCAAACTCCACCTCCCAGAGGCTCCAGGTGCTCCTCGATCTCCCTGATATAGTCATCATTCACTGAGGAGCAGGCCCGAACCACCAGGAGCACAGCGTGGGGTCCAGGAGGACACAGTGACACACTCCGCAGGGTTTCCCTCCTCACCCAGTTGGGGGTACTGTTGAGAGGGTAGTACCACTCCCACCCAGGGGTGTCCACCACCGTGACCCTCCTCCCCGCCACATCTGCTTGTTTTTTCACACACTCCTCGGTGGGCCTCCCGCTCTCAAAGGCTCCCGCTCCACCTAGGATGGTGTTGCCCGCTGCACTCTTCCCGGCTCCTTTCCTGCCCAGGAGGACCAGTCTAAGTTCTGGTAGAGCAGGAGGGAGGTGTGAGGCCATGGCAGCCTGCAGACTCTCATCTGAGAAGACGGGGAGAAGGACTTCCTCAGTGCGCCGCACCAGATAAGCTGAATAACACAAAAGACATAGAACCTGAATTTATACTTGTTTGTTTTACCTCACGGAGCACATCCTCGTCTTGTAAATTTCTCTTTACGTTCTGATACCTCAACAAACGATCACATCCTTGTTTTATCCATTTTGATTTAGCTTTCGTAACAAGTTTATGTCAGAACTAAATACATAAAGAAGAGCTCAACAATACACTCACCACCATTCGGCACTGCGATCAGACTGCACTTCTCATCTGTGGTGTCCATCACCTCGCCGTCCCCTCTCTTCCTCTTCCTCTTTTTGGTTCCTGTGCGTATTTTCACAGAAAGAACTTCTTCGGCGTCATTGCAACAGAGAAGAGGAACACCCTCATGCTGCTTTTATCCAAAGCGAAGATTCGTGCTGTGCAAACCGGAAACCAGAAAGTAGAAAACTCGGCGCATCATTTTACTCACCTGTGGTTTCCTTACATGTGTGAGATGACAGGAAGTGGAGAGATGGCACAGTTGGAACATTATGAACACACACCGGTGCCAACATGCACGCTTGCATGCTGCACAGGGCTGCAGGTATTCATTCATTCATGCACGTGTTTTACATAAAGAACTAGTGTTTGCATTCTGGAACACACGTGCAGGTTTCACGATGAGCGCTGCAGAGCTCACTTCTCTGTGGTGTGGCACTTCTGTTTCCTTCGCCCACAGGCCAAGTGATGCAAGCTAAGTTGTGGTTTGAAGCACAATGTCAGGAAACGGCAGACAGAGGTCCATTTCGTGCAAAGTGTGAATTTAAGATACAGCTCCTCACCAAGTCTTCATTTATACAAACTGAAACAAGTCAAATGAGGTCCAATAAGTTTATATGAAGGCAAACTGTTCCTTAACTTATTGTGTTTCGCCTTTAAACTAAAACTAACCAAAACCTCAGCCAACTCATAAATATCAGTCACCTTGACAGGCCAATATTTTGCTCATTTATTTTGTATTGATTTTACTTTATTTCTGTGAAAGGTTGACGTCTGTAACTGTTGTTTGTTTAGTTTTGGTTTTGTGGTATTTTTTTCCTGTATGTATAAATCAGTAAATACTAAATTGACAGCAAAACGGAGCAGCTGGTGATTGATGAGCTTTTTCGGCTTTAACAGTCGTTGCATTGTGTGAGGAGCCAGTATCCTTTCAGCATGTGGTCGGAGCTGCCTGCTGTCACCGCACCTTGGCCGAGTGGTGTCCCTGGCTGCGTAACATGGCACAACACGTTCTCATGTCCAGCCCAGTAACATGAACACACACACATACACACACATTAGATCACATCCTTCATGATTCACCCTTTCCTTCAGGGTTGATAAAAACAAACCCCCTTCATGGAAAGGAGTGAATCAGCCGTATTGATTTGGTGCCGTTATTGAGGTCTGTTAAGTGTTTGGCCAATTTGACCATGATGGATGCCTTTTCACATATGTGCTGCCTTTTGTAAATGTCAGAGTGACTTTTTACTTTGGACTCCCTGCAGCAGCAGTGGCAGCAGCACTCACCTCCAAACACGAGGCTGTGTGACAGCTGAACGACACCACATCATGAGTAAAAACTGCTCTCAATCTATATATTTCATTCAACATAGACATTTACATTTGCTGGTCAATCAGGACAATAAGTGCTTGTATTTGTGGAAAGGGGAAATGCACACATGAGGAGCAGCGTGTGGGTATTTTCAACTTGTTTCCACATATCAGTTACATTCAATTAAGTTTATTTAAAAAATGATTTATCGCAGTGCACATTCTCTTTGCCTTTAAAGGGGAATAAAACTTTATGTTTGGAAAATCTTGGTGGCATGAAATTGAAATGAGTAACAAGGAAATCTTTTGCACGCTGTGGTTGCTCTTTAATTTGCTTCAACACAGTGTCGGTGCCAATATGGAAAAAAGGTGTACAAGCTAGAGTGACTGTAGAAAGTGGTTTTAGTAGTACTATGAGAGAAAGTACAGGGGAGTCAGTGCCAGAAGTGAAAGTACAACTAACAGTCAAAGTAAAAGATGGATTAACTTATCTTAACTCAAACCATGATCTTTCTCTGTATTAGTTTGTTTTTGTGTTGTCCCTCTCTGTGTTTTAGTTATACTAATATTTACATTTTATACTTGTAACATATTTTCTCTTTGATACTAATTGGCTTTTATTTAAAATTAGACCAAAAACCATAAATAAACACAGAGGACAAACAGTGCTTCGCTGACTGGAGCCGGACATGGGAGTGTCCTGACGAAAACACCAACCATCACTGACACATAACTGATAAACCACACGAGTCACGACAAACCACATCAACATCAGAGGTGAGTGGACGCCCAACACACCTTTGACCAAAGAGACGGAATTAAAACACTAAAATGAGCAGAACCGAAGAATCGCTGCACAAACATCAAGAAATAGAATCAGTCAGAGCGCCGGCTGTCAACAAACAATGCAGCTGCAGATTCGGGTGCAGGAGAAATATGAAGAATCAGCAAAACTAAATGAGCACATTACACAAAAGTTCATTTCAACATCCTGATGTTTGGCAGTTATGATGGTGACCATGGTCACCATCTAAGTTTAGCATGAACCGGGAGCGGCACGGTGCTGCAGTGGTTTGCGCTGATGTCTCACAACAAGATGGTTCCAGATTCGAACATGTGTCTGTTTTCTCCGAGCTTCCTCCCACAGTCCACAGACAAGCATGTTAGGTTAAATACTTCCACCAATCGGAGTGATTGATTGATTGATTGGGGGGGGGGCTCTCAACTTGGCAATTGCTTTGCCGCCCTATAGCAACGCCCCTGGTGCTGTTCTCGTTTGTAAATTGCCTGTGGGTGTAAACGTGGTTGTTTGACCCTGTGATAGACTCGGTTAACAACACATGGTTAACCAGGATGTACTCGCACATTCATCCCGAGGAGAACCTGAGAACATCGGAGAACTTTAATTGTAATTCATCCAGTGGTTGTGAACAGAAAACAAAAAAAAGTTGGAAAAATCGATATTTCACAAGTTGAAAGCAGCCATTGTGTGTGTGTGTGTGTGTGTGTGTGT